TGATGGACTTACTCCCTCTTGCTTCATATTCTTTGTTTAGCCTGGTATACCTTAGAGTGAATTTAGTTCTGTTGTGCTTTAATGCAGATAGTGAGTAGAACAACTACACACAACCTATTTGCTTTCTTGCCACCTTGTGTGAACAGTGCACAGCTTCACTGAATGGAGAACTTCCAGAATTTACATACCATCTTTCCTATAGAGGAACAATGTTTTGGACTTTTGAAATGGCAATGGTGAACAACGTTCACTTATTATTTATTCTCATGCATTCGTTATTCTCCATCCCATTTCCCTGGTTTGCTTCTTAGGCATGTATAATTTCCATGACATTTCTAAAGGAAAAAAAATGAATTTTTTTTTCCTATTCTCTTACACAGTCACTCAGCATACTACTTCTGACACAAGATGTGTTGGGATATTCCCCACCACAAGAAATTCTCTAGCAGATACCAAGTGCTCATTCTATAATATAACTCAATTCTGATACTCTCTTCCTGGAGATAGCACCAGATAGATCTGCTCACAAGTTGAGGGCTCAGTTACAAGACTGTCCCCACTTTAATATTAAAGAGATAGCACACTTTGTATTTAGTCCCTGGTATTTATTTATTCATAGGAATATAACAAAAATTCTGTAATTTCTGATGTATATTGGAAATTTTATCAAGTATTCATTTTCAGGGAAACTAAACCTTAAAGGTTATCTCGATCAGTAGGTTGTTTAAAGATTCATACTTTTATTTATTCAACAATATTAATTGAACCTACTATAAACCAGGCTCTGTTCTGGGCACTATACAAGAAATGACAAATGTTCTTCCCTCAAGAATCTTACAGTCAAATGAGATTGGCATAAAGCAATCATTGCAACTAATGGGTAGATGTCAGGCTAGAGAGCTATATAATTTGCCATGGCAGCAGCAAGATGGGGTCTCCCTTTTCCTGAGGGAGCCCAGCAAAGGAATCAACAAAGTGACATTTTCCATTGGATCTAGAAATATAAATGATATAATTTTTTTCTTTTACAGTATGATTTGTTAAGCCTGTATTTTAAAGGATCTATGTTAATACGATATGCTTAATTCATTAACATTAAGTGACTACTTTGTACTTTATATTAGGTTAGGCCCTAGGATACAACTGAATATAAATAAAACAGACAGGACATACCATAACTAAGAAAAACAATGTGATTATTTGTGACAAGGCCTAGAAAAGAAAAACAAAAGATTAATGTACAGTAAGAATAGCTCATCTGCTCCGTAAGACCAAGGAAACTTCCCTGAAGGAAATACTATTCCATTTATCTGAGCAAATGTGTGAGTTTATCCACAACTGTTCACTCAGAATAGTAATGCATATTCACGGGGACAAACAAGTTTCTTAGCATCTTATAATGAAAGAAATGGGTCTTAGAGATGAGCTTTTGAAGGTACACAAATATTTTTACATGACAGAGCATCATTTCATTGTGAATTCCAAGGGTGTTGAGCACAAAGTATTTCTAACTCTGCACAACCATTTCTAGTCATCTGCCTGACACATTGACCCATGCTGGGTCGTTGCCTGTGAATTCTGAGTATTTCTTCTTGCCACCCAAGTTCTGACTTGCTTGGCTCTCTCTGGGCCAGTACTGAGGCACTATCTCACCTGCAGACCACCTATGGTTGGCCTATATCTTTGACCTCACTGGCCCTCCCTGGTGTACTTCTTTGATTTGGCCCCTGGTGCCATATTTTTCTATACATCCTTGCCCTCTCTGCTGGGGTCACTGCTGACCAGAATATTCCAAGCCCAGAAAGTCTTTTCACTTTTTACAGTATGCCAGAACTCTAAGGCATGGTCTTCAGATCTAAAGAGACCAATTTATTTAGTTAAAAACTAATTATATTATATATATATATATATATATTTTTAAATCTGGCTAAGATATCCTAACAAATTTATTATTAGACTAAATGTAACTACTAAAAATTTTTAAACAAAATAATTAATTGGATTTTTTTAACCATCACAATCATCTAAACCTGTAAGTTTAATGACTTTTCTATTTTTAAATAGTTCTTTGTCTTCTCTTCCTTCCCCATTTTCTCTCTAATGACAGTTTGGACTATCACTATTCATTTCAAGGTCACACCATCCAGATTTAAAATATCTCTAGGGAGGCAGATTGTGAATCAAGGAGACATGCAAAGGTCTTGCTGAGCTACAGGACATCAGGTTCCTGTGGCCTGTAAGACAGCAAGCATCCTCTAGGCCACATAAAATGTTCAATCTTATTTTCTTCCCTTATAAATATAATTTATTTATTTATTTATTTTAGAACTAACCATTTTCTAGGTTCTGGGCAGGGAGTAGGGGAAAATACAAATATTAATGGCGATCAACTGGAGACTAAAGAAGTTCAGAATTTTTTAGGGACAAATTGACGTTTTTCCATGTGATGGGATAAAACCACAATGGTGTTCTGGATAGTGCTCTTGGCAGAGGAGGTGAAAGGCGCTCTTGTAAATAAAGACAGCATATTATAAATATATAACAGGCAGCAGCATCTTCTAGCCAGGAAGTACATATGGCATTAGGAATGAAAACTGACTAGAGGAAACCTGGCTCTCCCAAAGCAGAGACATCCCTCCTACCCGGGAGGCTTGGCTTCTTTCTACATTGCCTTTGTAATGTATGTAAGACACAATCTGTCTGATTTTCCAAGATCTTGTGTGTGTGTATGTTCCTACTAGATTCTGGAGGGTCTTTTATTCATCTTGGAATCTGCCTCACCAGTGTCCTGGCACAGTACTTAATAGAAATAATGATGATGACATTGATTCACTGGTTATTGATTTAACAATAACAACTTCAACTCCTCCTATAGTGCATATTATGTTCCAGGCACAGTTCTATATGATTCATATGTATAAATACAATCACCTATAGGCATACATACACATACAATGTATGCATAAGTGTGTACATATGTAGATACATGTATATATATGTGTGTATGTATGTGTGTGTATATATATATATATATATATATATATATATACACATACACACACACTCAATTAAACCGAAAAGTATTATCTTGATTATACAGATAAGACAGCTGAGGTATAGAAAGCTTATATAGTACATCCAAGATCATTAGAAATAATAAGTCACAAACCCAGCTTTGAAGCCAAGAAAAACCAGCCTCACAGTTCTTCCTCACAGTTAACCACTACATTTGTACATAGTAGTGACTCAATACAAATATTTGAATTTGGACTTAATATTGAGGACACCAAAAGCAAAATAGGTTAAATGCAGTATCCTTTAACCATAGAAAGACTCATGATGTTAAGGTATGAGGTAGAGTAGTGTAGTGAAAAGAGAGCCTCTGGCCACATTTTAAGCTGCTTCAGACACTGTCTGAAGTGTGTGGCCAAGTCCCTGAAACCCTTAGGTTCCTCACCCATGAAGGGGTGGAAAACCACTCAGAGATGATTCCAGTTTTGAAATTTTAATTTCTGTTACCCCTGTGCCTTTTCATGATGTTAACATCTGTATACGTCTATCAGTCCATAGTGGCAAGAGAAAATAAGGCATGGGAATTCTGACAACATTGATGAATTTTCTCTAAAATCACAGATCTATGGAGAGAAAGAAAAATATCTATAAAATCATTCTTCTGGAGAAGTGTTGAAATTATGATTAGGAAAATCAAAATGGTGGGTAACATACTGAGAAGTGTAGAAGGTTTGGATCGGTGTCAGTTGACCTGGATACCAGTCCCAGTCCTCCCTTGTGCCATCTGTATGTTTTGGAGAGTCAATTACTTTACTGAGCTTTTGTTCCTCACCAGGAAAGCAAAGATAATTACACCTACCCTAGGTTATCTTGTGAGCATGTAACTGTGCTAAAAAGTGCCCGACATCCAGTATTCAATAGGTGGTGGTAATTATTAAGTTTTATTCTTCATTGATGGATCTCAGTCTTTAGTTATGGCGGTGTCAGCATTTGCTAAAACTTGCCCCATGCCAATTCCTTGTTTCAAATAAGAACATACTGTTCTGAGTGCTATAAGGATAGTTTTAAAAATGTAGGCTGTGGATTTTGCCATCAAGGAGCTTATAACCATGTAAGGGTATTATGATTTAAATGGTAACATATTATTTCAAGGTAAGAGATAAGTACCATATCAAGAAGTGACAACCTTTTCAGAGTAGGAGAAATGTATCAGGCAAACATGATGATCAAACAAGGATTTATAATGTAAATGGTGATAGTTCTTTTAAATTATGAAGTAATAATTTATTGTGATATGTGTATATAATGCCTACTTGGGCACATTGGCTGTGTGAATCATTTTTCATTATTGCAATGCACACACTGAGTTAAAAATCCAATTCCAACATAATCCTTATCATAAATTCTATTACAATTTGTTATTTTAACGTTTTATATGACCTTAGACTTTAATATTATGTCCTGGACTCTGAAATTATCAAATATTACTTTCTCTAATTCTTTTTTTTTTTTTTTTTTTTTTTTTTATTGGTCGTTCATAACATTACATAGTTCTTAATACATCATATTACACGGTTTGATTCAAGTGGATTATGAACTCCCGCTTTTACCCCGTATACAAATTGCTGTATCACATCAGTTACCCTTCCATTGATTGACATATTGCCTTTTGAAGAATTAAATGTAAACTACTATCTAACTTCCCACCTCTCTAACATAGTATCTTTTTAAAAAATTATGAATCCTCAAAAATATATTTTTTGGGGCTGGGGATGTGGCTCAAGCGGTATCGCGCTCGCCTGGCATGCGTGCGGCCCGGGTTCGATCCTCAGCACCACATACCAACAAAGATGTTGTGTCCACCGAGAACTAAAAAATAAATATTAAAAATTCTCTCTCTCTCCTCTCTCACTCTCTTTAAAAAATATATATTTTTGGTCTCTTAAACAACTCTCTAGCTTGACATTTCTTAAACATTCCTTCCCCAGATTTTTATTGGTGAGATATCCATGTATTTCATAAAGTCAACAAGGGAATCCCTGATTGCCCAGGAGAAAACAATTTTGACTGGAGAATGCTGTTACCTGAACCCCTTAGTCCGAAGGATCATCAGATTCATAGGTGAGTACAGGAGCCTGCTGGGACAGCCCTTGTATATAGGTAAAACTTATTAAACTTGAACACATTTGGTAAAACAATCTAAGCTATGGAACTTTCAACTAAAAGCAAGGGCTGCTTTGGGACTATCCAGGAAGGACAGAAATGGAGTCTTCCCCTAGTGCCAAGTTGAATCTTTGACCCATGAAATAAAGTGGCACTTACTGTCTTAGAAATAAATGGTTTAAAAGTTGTTTTTCCCCATACAACTTTTATCTGAATTTTCCATGAACATACATTTTAATATTAATTGGATATTGACATATACCCATTAGATGGGTGAGGCAACAGGCAGAAGAGGGAACACCAATAAAATGAATTTAGAAATAATCAAACTTCCTGATTAAGATTTTCTATCCAGTGGGTTTTTTTTTTTAAATGTGGGAAATTTAACAAAGGGTTAAAATCGAATCCACCGGGGTCTTGAAAACAATGCCTTCCCAAAGTTGGAAAGAAATACTTTTATTAGTGTTTATGAAAAGAAATAATTTTTAAAAATGTTCTATATCCCTCCCTCTAGGACTTGTATTTAAAAAATCCCAGGGTGCTTTGGTAATGATCATACATATGGTAATATATATATGAGCAGGTAGAAATAAAGGTATTTCAGTATTCCTACAAAATAAATACCCAATAAATGATAATTATTATTGTGTTCTAATGAAATCTGGCAATTATCTACTGGTTGGATCTTCCTGGGAGCCACAGTAAAACTCCCAAGCTATAACATGTCTGGTATTAAACAAGCCAAGGTGCCATTTGGGACATATAGAACTGAGAAACTGAGACCAGATATACAGTATATATTCAACCCTTTGGGTAATCATTATTTCCACCCCCACCCCGCTGTTTTCCATTATTATAGGAAAGGGTTAAATGCCCTCAGTCATGAGCAGATGACCACACCAAAACCAAATATGCAATAATGTCTCCAAATGAAATGAAAATGAGGAAAGTAGTAGAGTGGGAAGTCCAAGAAAATCTAATGTAGAAGAAACAACCCTTAACATTAAAATAGTCCTAAGAATTGACTAATGATATTTTCTGAAAAGTTTTTGCATACTATGGAGGATTCCAATTGGCTCATTGTGATACCCTGATCAAAATGATGCCACTACTGTCTAGGTTACCCATTTCAAACCATGGCTCCTTTCAAAATGTCCAGAGTCAGATCGCTTACCACCAAAGTGGCTAGATAACAAATCATCCATGAGGAAGAAAAGGAGAGAAGAGAATATTTATTATACCGAATGCTGAACTAGACAATTTATACACATTATTTTGTTTACTCCCCGCACAACATCCTGTAAGATATTTTATGGTTCTCATTGTACATATGAAGAATCTGGTAGAAAATGAGGTATCGTAATTTCTCCCAAGGAATGTATGTGTCCATGGATGCATATGCATGTACATAATTCATTAAAGAAAGCAGATTGTGCTCACCATCTGATGTGCTTCCTGCACATGTAATTAAACAAGTTATTCAGAGGGTTATTAGATTAGAATTAAATAGAAATTATCTTTAGAAAGTCATTGATATTTTTCCTTGGCAAAGAAAAATCACACCCTAGCTGGGAACAGGGTCCAAAGAATAAAAATTTTAACTGGCATTTGATTTGCCATTTATGTAGGCCTGTATGCTTAGCCAGAGCAAGTCTTTGTTCACTGAGGATTCAGAGACCCTAATTACCCCAAAATGAACCCTCCAGGTTGCCTATTGGGGTGCACTACCCTCCCACACAAACAATGCATTGAGCAGAGTTTCAGGACCATCAAGGTTAAATAGAAATTTGTCACCTTGGAGGAACATCAAATTCCCACATTCATAATTGATGACACATTAGTCCTTTGGGGTCTATTGTACACTAATAGAAAGCTGAATGCAGAAAGCCCAAAGCAGAGACATTCAAAAAGATCAGTTAGAAATCAGCATCATGAAATGATGCTCAGAAGAAAGGGATGACTAGAGTAGAGGGATAGCCAGCAGGTAGCATCAACCTTGGGGAAGAAAAAACCAGCACTGGAAGGCAAGGAGCATTGATGGGTAAAAAGTTATTTGCTTAATGCTTTTCCTCTTGTTTTATGACAAGAAGATCTGCCTGATTGCTAGTGTAGAAAACCTGGGAGACACCTAAGCCATCTGGGAAGTTGTTATAAATGCAAATGCTGAGGCCTCATCCCATACCTACTGAATCAAAAACTCTGGGGATTGAGCCTGATAATGTGTGTTTTAACAAGTTTCCAAGTGATTCTGATGCACACTAAAGTTTGAAAAACACTGAATCAGGCCATTAAAACTTCTTGCCCTTTTAAGCCATCTTCCTACATTTTGTCCTGTGACTTAGTTCCATTCACACCAACCCCACAAAAATACCATGCATTGCTCCTCTTGCAGCCATTGATCTTTCTTAAGCAAAAATTTACATAAGTCATTCCTCTAAAACTTTTCAATGGATTCCTGGTATTGTTCCTGCCTAAAACTTTTCAATGGATTCCTGGTATTCCATTGTCACACCCTTACCACAAAATCTGGTCAGATCCTACTCATCCTTCAGAACACTACTTAAACATTACCTGTTTGCCCATACAGACAGCTAGCTACCTCATCTTCCAGGCCCCCAGAGAGCCTTGCACCTACATTTTTTATAAGTACCTACCACATTAGTATGCATAATTAAGCCTATTATTCCTAATAATTTGTAATCCCTTGGAGAACAGGTACTGTATATTCTTCACTCTAACAATAGCATATAGAAGTATGTCTGGCACATAGATTTTTAATAAATATAGGGTTTTACTTTGTATTTTTTGAACAAGCAAAGAGCAGCTGTTAAATGTTGATTCTTAAATATTCACTTGCCTCCTTTTTTAATTACCTTTATTACCAATCTTCAACTAACTTCTAGGAAATTAAAATGCACAAATAAGGCAGTTTTCTAAGGGAAGGCCTGAAGTCTACTGTGATTTTTTTTTATATAGGAGGGTCAGAGTAGAAGGATGGGGAAGGGTCTCTCAAGGACAACTTACTATTTCTGGGTGACTACAGATTGATTTTTCTTCATAGAAGGAAGAAAATGTACTACACGGAATAAAGACCCTTTAAATGGAAATGTTTCCTTTGGCAGAAATTAATATAAAAAAATAAGGTGGTAATCAAAATGTATATTAGGGATGTTATTGTAAAGAGCTTAATAGTCTATTTTTCTAGCCCAGTAGCCACCAAAATACATACTATGCAATTGGCATTGGAAAATGACGACTATTTCAGATAACTATTCTAATTAAGTTGAAATGGCAAGACTTTTCTCTTGCAGTTTACATAATTATTCTAGAATCCATTACAAATAGTTTTTCCCAACAAATACAATCAGCTTCACAATGCAAAAAAAGACCAATGGATTAGCAAAATACTTTTAAAGAAAATAATGTTTTATGCTGCCAAGGATGAAAGAAAAAAAAAAAAACAACCTGGGATTCTAATACAGTTCTGGTAAGATGTTGATATGCCCTTTCTGTATTACAATTTGAGAATGTATTTCAATAGCCTTAAAGACAATTGTTTTTACCTTAAAATTTAGTTTCAAATAATGTATCCTATGGAAACAGAGATGTAAATTAATTGTATGAATTAAAATCTTGTTATCATAAAAATCAAAAATATCTAGTACAATTTTTTAAAAAATAATGCTGCCAACATAAGTTGCAATCTCAAAAAATGGTATTAAGAATGTATAATGGAAGGAGAATATTTTGTTATAATGTTAGTCAAATTTTTCTATAATATTCCTAAACATAAGAAGGATACTTCATTAAATAACTGTAGTGTTTGTGTGTTCCACAGAAGAGAGACTTAAGGGCTGTATGCTAAAAGTTAACTGTTATTATTTCTGAGTTTTAGAATAATGAGTGAATATTTATTTTCCAGATAATGGGAGATTTTTTAAATGATGAATATGTATAATTTTAAATATCAAAAAAATCTAAATATTAACAAAATAAAAATGGTAGGTGATAAGACAAAGACTTTCAGCTCTCCAGAAAGATGGTCAAGTTCTCTAATGGAATCTTCAGTGTCAGAAAGAGAGCTAAAAGTGGCACCTGGGCTCTCCCCTTCTTGTCCTGGACTTGAAGGGATAGCCCTGCCTCACCTCAAAGTTCCAAAATAAATTTTAAGTGGTAAAATGGAAAGAAAAGCTAAATCAAAGAGAAAACATACAAATTAAGCCCTCTTTTAGCAAATGCTAATTGTTTTAATCCTGACTGAATTCCTCTGATTCACAAATCCAACAATAAGTACACCTAAGATTTGCATTGAAAGGACACCTCTGCTGCCATGTTTAAAATATGTTAAAATCCTCTTCTAAACCCTTGGGTCTTCTTACATTTTGTTTACATGGATGTGGGAAGGGAGGAAAGGGACTGACTCAAGTAACAAACTCAACCAACATTTCTAAAAAACAAATGTCAAGTTACTGACATGTACTTAGACTACTTTCCCTCATTTCCACCTCTAATCCTTTCCCTTCCATTCCATTTGAATACACTTGATGGCAATACCCATCTGCAGATTTAAGTTCTCGGGAACTTAAATCCCTTTCCAGCAGTAAAGACTTAAATAAGAAAGTCATTTTTTCCAAAAACTTATGAAGTTCAGTTAAATTCTGTTCATTCAAATATACTTGAATAAACCTATTCTTGTAAATGACAATTATTAACCAATAACTGATTTAATATCAAAAGGTAATGAATTGAAAGCATTAGAATTTGATGAGGGTTTTTTTTTTTTTTTGGTGTGTTTGCCATATAGAAGGATCTATTAACACCTAAAATAATCTGTCATCCAGAAGCTATTTATTATGGCCTTTTCATTCGAGACCCCAGAGTTGTTCCATTGTTACTTCGAATAAAAATTTGATTAAATACTAAGCAAATTCTTTGCCATTTAGGTCAGTCCAAGGATT